TGGCCGTCCCGCTGTCCCCGGCCTCGGTGGCACCGGTGGCGCCGGCGCCGCGCGCCAGCAGCGCGCGCTGCTCCGCGTCCCGCTTCTCGTCCTCGAAGTTCATGGTCATGAAGCGCAGCACGACGAGGTTGAGGAAGGCGCCGATGACCGTGAGCCCCGTGAGGATGTAGACGAAGCTGAAGGCCACGTACTGCGGCTTGGTCTGCAGCGCCTCGTCCTTCTGCAGCGCCACGTAGTCGCCGAAGCCGATGGTGGTGAGCGTGATGAAGCAGTAGTAGTAGGCGTGGAAGAAGCTCCAGTGCTCGTAGTAGGAGAAGGCGGCGGCGCCGACGCACAGCGTGCCGATGCACGAGAGGAAGCCGATGGTGACCATGTTGGCCATGGAGACCTCGGGGCGCCGCATGCCCAGGCCCTTCTTGAGGCGGCGCAGGAGGCAGCGCACGCACGTGTTGATGCGCTCGCCCAGGCTCTGGAACATGACGAGCGTGAGCGGGATGCCGAGCAGCGCGTACACCATGCAGAAGACCTTGCCGCCGTCCGTGCTGGGCGCCGCGTGCCCGTAGCCTGCGGGGGGGACAGCGCGTGTCGGATCATCAGGAATCCCGCACGGAAAGAGGGGTTTTGGGGGAAGGGTCCCTGCGTGGGGTGGGAGCAGCTGGGTTGCTCTTAATCTCCTGCTTCCTGCGCAAGGCGAGCGCAAACAGGGCTTATTCCTCCCATTCTGGCCCCGCCGGATTATCGGGCCGCTAATGGATGCTGGGGAAAAGGGCAGCGGGGGGAGGCAGCAGAGAATGTGGAAATCTGCGACTCCCTCCCCGGCTCAGCCCCTTCCCGGCTGCTCCTGGCTCCAAATCGGATATTCCTTCCGGCCCTGATCCCACCTGGATAACCCCTCCCACCCTCTCCCATCCCAGCTGCTTGGACCCAATCCCGTGGGTTGGATGCTCCTCCAGCCTTGATCCCACCTGGATAACGCCTCCCATCCCAGCTGCCAGGAGAGGGCTCTATCCCATGTGTTGGATGCTCCTCCGGGCCCCGCTCCAGCCCTGTTCCCGATGGAGGGAGCAGACCCAGCTGTCCTGGCCCTGGCAGCTGCTGTTCCCCTCATCCCTCTCCTCCGGCTCACGGTGATCCTGGAGCTCCGCACATGGAGCCAGCCCGACCTCAAATGCCCCTGGTGGGTCCCAAGGAGCATCCCAGGGCCGGGGGTGGTTCCCATGGGAATGCCACTGTGTCCCGGCCCTGGTAGATCCCTGCTCCGCAGAGGCAGGGAGCATTTCCCACCCACAGCAGCCAGGCCGGGCTCCCAAATCTCCCGCCTCGATCGCCTCTGGCTTCCCAGCCTCCTTTATCCAACGGGATGCCACGACCCGCAGCCTGGATCCCAGGGAGATCCCAGCATCCCTTTTCCCAAGGAGGACGGGGTGGTGAGGGTGGCACGGAGCCCAGATTCCTGTCGGGAAGCCTATCGCGGCCTCCCGAGCGCCGGCAGCTCCTGCCCTTTTTAGGGCCGCGGAGGCACCGGCCGCATCCGCCTGTTATTTCCCGGGGTCAGGGGGGGCGGGCAGCCT